AAATAATAAAATTTACAGAGGAGGCCAAGCTTTAAGAGATGTCTGTTTTTTTAATCCTGTAATGTCCAACTGAAAACAAAATGCCTCTATAACCTTTCCCTTGAGCCCTTTTACCCCCAACGTTCTCTCAGTTTTGAAAATACATGAGGCGCTTACAGTGACTTTTTTTTTTTGCTTTAATGTTTTTCTTGTTTACCAACTTAAGCTAAAAGCCCTTTGTAAGTGAGAATAACCATATCTTGTTTCTCTCTTACATTACTCAGAGAATTTGCTGCAGTATATTAGTTTAGAATCATATTGTATAGAACTTTCTGGAAAAAAATTATCAAAATTTTCTATATCTCTAAATTACCCTAGTGATTAAATCACAAGAAGTATTTCACCAATACTTTGTAGAGTTAAATTTTTGTTTTACCTGAGGTCTTATTCCTGGCATGCTATATATGTATTTAAAGACTATAATTCTGTTTGACAAAAATGAAGTTAAAAATCTACACATTATAATTATGGAAAGCAAAAATATAATGTATTTGAATATACTCTGATCTAAGCAGAAACAATGAGCACTTGGTTTAAAATTTGAGAGAATAGAAAAGATCAAATAATGGTTTTAATATACAATTTTGGGATTGTAAAAGATTATTAAAAGGTAAGAAATACATACAGCCAGTTTTTGAAGACTTGATAACTTTTCATTTTGATCCTTAAAGGCAGTAGTGGGAATCTTGTTCAATGCATCTTCTTTTTCTGAAAGCCATGCACCAAAAAGGCACTGAAAAAAAAAATTACAAAGGAAAAAAAAAGTTAAAAGTAGATCATGATATATTCTTTGGTAAGGGTGCATACAGATTTAACGTATCTTCATGCCTTTCACTGCTATAATTTCCTCCATGTCACTCACCTGTTCTTCTGTAAAACGTTGCCATTTTAGAAGAATGTCTTGTAAAAGAACCCAGCGGTCTTCTGTCCATCTACAAATGTTTGCCCATCGATCTCCCAGTACCTGAAAAACAGCACACCTCAACATCAGTAAACAATAAATAATTAACTGAATTTAGTTAAAAATGGCATAAATGATTATGAAAGTCTCTGACTTTAACTCATCTACATATTTTAGTTCTGTAAAGGATACCCTTCTCCTGCTTACAATTATTGTGCCCTTTTATTGTCTTTACATAATGTCACTCACTTTCACCTCACACTGAAAAGCAAAGACACAAGCAGGTGGAAGCAGTTGTGATGCCGACATTTGATATATCTTGACAGCAAATATAAGATTGCAATGACATAAAAATGGATTGAGAAGGATTTGCAATGATATCTTGTAAAATCTGGATCTTCCTTAGGTCTGAAACCACACTCCAAAGAATAAAATCTTACTACTACTAAACAGAATGCCCGAAACACTTGGTTTTGCAGCAATTCTCTATAATTAAAATAGCTTATTCTCCTGATTTTGGAAGACAATTCTGTGATTAAAATATATCCATATGTGGACTTAAAAAATTTGCTGTTATACATTATTAAGATTTTATATATCTCTAAACTGTTCTTGTGAGCAAATTACAATATTTCATGGATAACAACTGCCATGCCTTTAGCATGTTCCTCATGTTAAAGTGTGCACCCTATTTTCATGTGTATCATAAGCCAAGTATGAATGAGGATTGGCTAGAACAAATGTATGTCGTGATGATTTCTGTGCAAGGGAGTATATCAAGACTAGATAAAAAAGCAAACATACCTAAAATTTCAACTTTTTATGACCTCATATAAATGAGAAAATTGTTTGCCCAAAGCTATTGGATGTTTATAGCCTGAAACATAGCAAAATATGCAAGTTTTATTTTGCACAAAGTCAGAGCTGAAAAATAAAATTTAGATCTCACATTTTGGACAAATATATTCAGAATCCAAGGTACAACTTCAGATAATTTCTACATTACATGATGCTACAAGCTTGGATCAATCTGCCTATAAAAAAATCAAACCAAACTCATTGCTCTTGAGTCTACTCTGACTCATAGTGACCATACAGGACACAGAAGAAATGTCTGATAGGGATTCCAAGGCTGTACATATCTATGGAAGCAGACTGCCACATTTTTCTTCTCTTGAGTGGCTGGCTGGTGGGTTTGAACCATTGACCTTTTGATTCGCAGTCATGCTTAACCACTGTGCCACCAGGACTCTTTCAATCTACCTAGAATATATGAATATATGATTTGAATAATGCAAATGTAATTAGTATTATGAAAAAAGC